CGATTGAATTTCAACATCAGTTGCGCGATTGAGTTTGGTCCCGCAGCCTCTTCAAGTCGCGATTGAATTTGACAAGCCCGGGTTTTTTTTCGCGATTGAATTTGGCTTTTCTCGCGATTGAATTTTGATTTTCCCGCGATTGAATTTGCTTTCCCGAGTCTGGCCCAGGATGAGCCGCGGACATTTGGAGGAAATCAATTTTAATTAGACGATTTATAGATTGTAGAAGCCCATTGCGAAAAATAAATTAAATGTATAATATATGTTGAATGTGATACCCGCAGCTCATCCGCACAATCGAACGCATCCGTTGTTGGCGGCTCGTGGCATTTGGCTCAAGCCCCGGCACCTGTGTTCTAACCCCGGGCCCCTCTGCCGTGATGAAGGCGTCCATGCGGGCAGGCAATCGCGGCGGGCCTCGCAACGCAAGAAAGGCAGATCTGGACCAAGTGGCCATGCTGCAAGCTTTCGCGCAGCACGCTCTGCACAACGGCGCGCTTGCGCTGCTGCAGTTTGGCGGCTATCTGAACCTGCCGGTGAGCAAGGCCATCTTGGGAGCGGAGCTGGCTCGGCTCTGCCCCATCCTGCAGTTGGTGCTGCGGCAGTGTCCGTCCGGAAAAGTGAAGTTCGCGTGCTTGCGCACTGTGTATGTCAAGTTTTGCGCTCAGCACCCACAAGTGTGGGAGTTCCTTGGGACGCACAAGTCCCTGAGCGACCACGCCTCGGACTGCGCCAACACTGTCCTGACAACGCTCGCGCACGCCCGGCGTCTCTGCGATCCAGTGAGGTTCAGACAGGCGACGCAGGGCCTAAGGACTGGGCAGGCGCAGGCGCTGGAAGGGCTGAGAGACCACTTCCTCTTGCATCGCCAGCCGGAGCTGGATCGCGAAGAAGCCACGGAGGCCGGCGAGCCAGAGGAAGATGACGAGGTCAACCTCGACAACTTGTCCGACTTTCTGGCGTCGCAGGACGCACCCGAGCTGGACGCATCCGCCCAAAAAAGCACTTCGGCGGAGGACAAGGGCCCGCGAAAGCGTCCCGCGTCGGTGGCAAGCGCGGCGCAGGGCCCGATGAAGAAGCCGGCCGCTGCCGCCAGCAGCGCAGAGGCTTTCCGCAGCGAGTCGGCGCAGGCAAAGTATTGGGGCCGTGTGCACGTCGGCTACTACTCAGAGAAGTCGTACATTCGGTACTGGTGCGAAGCGGACAAAAAATACCGCTTGATTATAGGGGCCTCCGGGCCCGACCACAAATCCGTCTGCAAGCAGCTGTGGCCTGCAGTGCTTCAAGCAGATCGAGGCACTCAAGGATATTCGCTCCGGTCTCAAGGCATCCGACTAGCGACAGATCACGTCCACGCGCGAAAAAAAGCCATTGCTGCCGAATCGTTGTGTGTGCCGCATGCGCGCGCATCCCAAGGGTCCTCTTGGCTTGTACTATAGATAATTGTGTAGTCGGACAGCCATGCCTTTACTGGTTGCTTTCCACCACTGTCATCCCACGAACTGGGACAGCAAGGCGTTCGAGCCTCTTCCCGCGTGGCTAGAAGCGCGAGTGGCAGAAGTGAAGCTGCGCGCGCTACAACGCGTTCCACGCCCCTTATCCAAGGGGGTACCCCCTCAGGGCGGTCAGTGTGCTGTGGCATCTGCAAGAACGCAAGGCCAACGGCGACCTCATAATGTTTGCGCCGAGTGAGATCATCTGGATGTGCGTTCGAGATCGATCGACGCGCGAGCCCGTAAGGTTGTTTGAGCCGTAGCGCGGTCTTTGGCCGCTGCCGCAGGGACGTATTTATTCGTTCGTGATTAAGGTCTATGGGCCGCGAAGGCTGGCCTCCGGGCCGCCAAGACGCAGGCCTACGCGGCCGCCAAGACGCAGGCCTATGGGCCGCGAAGGCTGGCCTGCGTGCCGCCAAGACGCAGGCCTATGGGCCGCGAAGGCGCAGGCCTATGGGCCGCGAAGGCTGGCCTCCGGCTTGCGGGCCAAACAGTCACGGCGCGGTGAAAGCGCGCTCGCACTTGTGTCTTGTCTGATTGCTAATATGCAGACACACAAACAGACACATATATATATATATACATAACACATATATTTTTTATATGTATACATGTATATATATATATATATGCGTATATACTTGCGCTCCGCTGCCGTTTCGGCCCGCAGCCTGGCGCGCCGCGAGCCGCGCGCGCGTCAAGCGACGGATGGCCCGAAGAGCCATCCTGAAGGCCCGCGCAAAGCCGAGCCCGAGCCCGAGCTCAAGCAGCAGCGGCAGCGAGGACGAAACAAAGTCGCGCACGGGCAGCAGCAGCAGCAGCTGTAGCAGCGTCAGCATGCCAGCGCCGACCGATGGCGCCTCGCGCCCGGGTGCTGTGGCAGAGCCTCCTGCCACCTCGGCGGAGGGAAGCGGCGCGGCAGCGCTTCCCTCAGCCCCTGCCGAGCGACCTCGGTCGCCGGAGCTGCCACCGCGGAGGCCGCCGTCGGAGCCCGTGGGCACTGGCGGCGAGGGCGGCGAGGGCCGCGAGGGCCGCGAGAGCGGCGAGGGCCGCGAGGGCGGCGAGGGCCGCGAGGGCGGCGAGGGCGGCGCAAATGCGGCCGGCGAAGGCGGCGAGCAGCCCGCACGCCGCCGCACGCGGGGTGGCTCGCGGCGGACTGCGAGGACCGACAGCTCGTCAAAGTGCATGACGTGCTGGCGGTGGATCGCGGACGGCGAGTGGTCGTGGCAGCAGCATAGGGCTTCCGACTACCACAGGTTCTGGGCCCGCAAGTCGGCTGCAGAGCCTGCGCCTGCAGCTCCCGCTGCAGCTCCCCCGGCGGCGCCGCCGCCCGAGGTCAAGCGCGAGCCGGAGGAGGCCTCCGACGAGAGCCGCGGCTCGAAGAAGAAAAAGAAGGTGGGGGGAAAGCCGCGGCCTTGACGGCCATGTTCGAGCGCGCCGTGAGCGCGCTGGAGGGGTTTTAGGCGATTGGCCTTTGGGCCAATCGCCGCTTGGCCTTTGGGCCATCCACTTGGCCTTTTGGCCAGCGGCTGCTTCGCTTTGGATCCTGGCCCATGGGCCGGAGCGGCCGACTGGCCGACTGGCCGCATCGTCGCGGCTACGTCGCTTTGGGGCGGACTGGCCTATGGGCCACGCCTGGCCGACAGGCCAGCGCAGACACGGTTTTTGGAGGGAAAAAGTGCGGCCGCGAAATGGGGGGGGGGAGCAGGGAGGGGTGGGAGGAGAGAGGGGGGGAAGATGTCAGAAGATATCAGAAGATATCAGAAGATATCAGAAGATATCAGAAGATGTCAGAAGATATCAGAAGATGTCAGAAGATGTCAGAACATGTCAGAAGATGTCAGAACATGTCAGAAGATGTCAGAAGATAAGATCTTCCATGTCAGAAGATGTCAGAAGATGTCAGAAGATAAGATCTTCCATGTCAGAAGATGTCAGAAGATAAGATTGTCCATGTCAGAAGATCTCAGAAGATGTCAGAAGTCAAGATTGTCCAAGATTTTGTGTCGTTCACCGTGTCTGTCCCGCTTGGTTCTTTCGGCTCGACAGCAATCCCCGCCACGTAACTGCGCACTTCCTGGCTCGACCCACAGATCACATGGCTATGAAGCGTCCCGCTTCCGCAATCACAAAGAAGCCAGCTGCCCATGAGGCAAGCAAGCTCACCACGGCTCAGCAGCTGGGCAGCTACCTCTTCGGCCACGGAGAGGAGGAGACCCAGCGCAGGCTGGCTAAGCTGTCAGAGACGCAGCGCCAGACGCTCACGAAGATGTTCGAGCGCGCTCGCAAGGAGAACAGCCAGGAGTATGACGCTGAGGGCCTTCGGGGCCCCGGCGCCAACCGCAAAAAGAGTCAGCTCCTTCTAGCGTGGCTCCAGCACGGATTCAGCGAGACTTACTGTGAGCTGGCGGCCAAGATGGTGCTGACGCAGTCCCGCACCACGCGCGAGGAGTGGATCCCGCTCAAAGCCAAGAAGTCCTACGGGCCCAAAGAGCTCAGGACTCGCCTGAAGAAGGGCTCCCTAGAGTGGCGCCGAGACCCGGACGACCAGGAATTCTTCCAGGTGCGCAAGCGCCGCGAGTTTCGCGAGACTGGCACGACGAAGCAGAAGGAGCTCTCAGCTCGCTCGGTGGCTTCGGGGTCGGGAAGCAGGCCTGGCGCAGCGCGGGTTTGGGAGCAGCTCGAGTCGGAGAGTCAGGAGCCTGGCTGGTCAGACCTCAAGATGTCGCGGGCCAAGAAGCCCAAGGCTGCGGACAAGCCGGGCGGCGACCTCGGCGCCATCATGGCGCTGCTTGACGCCCCGGGCGCCGAGGCGGCCTCTGACGCCGAGGCGGCCTCCAACACCGACGGTGGCGGGGAAGAAGGGGAAGAAGAGGACCCTGTCTCGCAGTCCGAAGAGGAGCCGCCGCTGGCGATCAAGGATCAGACGCGTGGCTCTGCACGCTCCAGCGACGGCGGCAGCAAGGTCGGGCTGGAGGAATTGGAAAATGTACAGCGCGCGCGTCGGCTCTGTGGGGCTCCCCGAGCTACGCCGGCGCTTGTCTGAGATGGCTAACCTTGCGGCTGCAGCCGCGAAGGAAGCGAGCGCCATGGAGAAGAAATCTAAAGGCGCGCTGAAGAAGCAGGCTCAAGGCTGCAGCCAGAGCCTTCGTGCTGCGAAGAAGGCGATCCAGTCTGCTCTGGCGGCCCCGCGGGCCAGCGCTGAGACATGCAAGCAAGCCCTTCTTGACTGCGTGAAGTGCTTGAGCGCGTGGCGCCGGACGCGCGCCCAGTCGAGGGGCTAGCCACTTACAGCGCAATGGGCCACGCTTCCATGTTGGGAGATTTTGCTGGCATCGGCCGCCACGCGCACGTTTTGGAAGCAGAAAAAGCCTGCCGCCCCTGCTGACTGTCAGGACCCACGTGCAACTTTTTTCTTTAAAAAAAATCCCCCGCGCTGGCTTTGTCATGCATCTAGAAGTTTGTCGCCGCAGCAATTTGCACCCGCACGGACGAGCGCGGCGGGCAATGGCAAGGCGCCGCGCCAAAAAGCGCACGGCCGAAGAAAGGGCCCTTGACGACCTAGCAGAGCCTCACTCCGCGCTGTGGACCTGTTTGATTGAGCTCTGGGCCTGGGGCAGCTTGTCCAGTCCGATTGTTCAGAAGCTAGCGTCGGCGGCCCGTCAAAGCGGGTGCCGCGCCAGCGATATCTCGACTCTTGCGAACCTCGGCCACGGCGGCGCGCAAGAAGGAAACGTGCACAGGGATCTCCTGCGCGCGTACGCTGCCCGCTGCGTCACTCCAGAGCTCCGGCGGGTCCCGTGCGTCACACGAGTGAAAAGCGCGGAAGGCGAGCGCACGGAGAGCACGTCGCAGGCTATACTGCCAGCCTCTGAGTGGATCCGCAGCCTCTGCGGGCACGGGTTGGACGCAGCCCTTCTGGGCTCCGAGGCAGACCGAGTGCGCTTCTGGGAGCGCCAGCTGAGCTCCCCTCGAGCCGTTGGCGTGGGGTACTACCACGTCCGAAGCTTTTGCCCCGCGCAGACAGTGCCTCTGCTTCTCTTTGCGGACGGGGCTAGCCACGCAGAGCATGACGGCACTGTGGCCGTCTGCTTCCGCAGCCTGCTTGCCCACCAGTGCGACATAGCAGAGAGCATGTTTCTCTTAGCTGCCCTGCCCAAGTCGGCAGCCGTTAAAAGGGAATCCTGGAGGCAACTATGGTCCGCCCTGGTGGCGGACTTCAATGATCTGGCTCACGGCCGCGCAGCCGACGGGTCCGCGTTGCCTCTGAGGGCCGTGGTGTGGGTCGTCTCGGGCGACTATGAGCACATGGCAAACGAATATGGGCTGCCGCACTGGGCTAGCTTCCGCTGCTTTTGGTGCTGCAAGCAGAAAGCTGACTTCTTCGACTTCGGCGACATTGCGCGCCAGACCTACGCTGTCGAGGACTTACTCGACCAGGCAGCCCTCGAACACCCACTCACCGCTTTGACAAATTTTTCTCCTTGTATGTTTGCCATCGACACCTTGCACTGCCTGGATCTGGGCGTTGCCGCGCATGTGTACGGCAACGTGTTCTATGAGCTCACGCGGGATTGGCCGGAAACCAAGATCGGCAGCATCCAGCGACTCAATCGCGAACTGCGGGCGCATTGCGCAGCTCTCGCGGTGCAGCCGCCGCCCCTACTACGACACGAGCACTTCTCGCCCGGCGCTGGCGGGTACCCGATTCTGCGACACATCAAGGGATCAGTCGTGAGGCGCCTGGCGCCTGCAGTCGCGGCCCTGGCAGCCACGTATGGCTGTGGGTCCACCCACCGCAAGAGGCGCGCGCGCGTGACATCGCTGCTCGCAAGCCTCTACGAGGCTGCAAGCTGCCGAGATCTGGTGATGCCAGCGAACAAGCATGAAGACTTTGTCAATGCGCTTTCGGAGTTCCTAGACCAGTACCGATGTCTGAGAGCTGCGTGTCGTGATGATGGCTGGCACATCGTCTTTAAGTTCCACATGCTTCGGCACTTGGATGAGCAGTCCAAACACTTGAGCCCCAGGTATGTGTGGACGTACCCTGGGGAGACGTTCATGTCTCTTGTGTGTCAGCTAGCCGGATCCTGCTCGCGGGGCACCCCTGGCCGACTGCTTGGCGTCAAAGTGCTAGAGAAATACCGGGTTGCTCAGCACCTCATGCTCTCAGGTCAGATACCTGTGCGCTCTCGTATGGTCAGCGACGAGCTCGGCGAGTAGATTTGAGCCAAAAAGAGCGCGCGCAAATATCGGCGTATACATATACTTTGTAATAAGCAATAAAAGGATCCAGGTATCTGCCGCAAGCATCGGATATATTTTCGCGATTGAAATTGAAAAAAACCGCGATTGAATTTACAAAAACCCGCGATTGAATTTGGTGTGCAGCATATTTCTGGCGCGATTGATTTTTCAAAACTAAGGCGCCCCTCCCGCGATTGAATTTGGCGAAAACACAAAAATTTGGCCGCGATTGATTTTTGCGTTTTTTGCCTTGTTTTTGAGCAAATTTCAAGAGCGATTGAATTTTGACGCCGCGATTGTTTTTTTTCAATCTCGGATGCTTTGGGTTGATCTCCCGCAACATTTGGCTCAAGGCCCCTTTTGCATAATCACGACCATTCAAGCGTGAGGACAAAAGAGCCATTGCAGGCCGCTTACAGGATTATCCATCAGACAATCCACCAGGGACAATCCATCCTCCAATTATCCATTGTAGGCATACTGGACTCTCTCCGGAATAGATTCAGGGACCAACAGCGACCTCAACTACCACAGGGTTCCAGTTCCCTCCGGGGATAGGCACCTGGGGCAGTGGGCCTCAATTTGTGGTAGCGGAGCGGGTTTTCCGCAGAGATCCAAGGGAAGATGTCATCAGATGGAGAAGGCTTCATGGAAGCCTATACAAGTTCGGCAAAGCCGAGCTACACGGAGGAAACACTTAATTTATCGATGACCGCCAAGCAGCCGCCATCGTACGACGGAAAAGTCAGCTGGTTCAGGTATGAAGAACTCGTGGACGACTGGGTGACAATCACCACAGTAGAAGCAGCCAAGCGAGGTCCATTGCTTGGAGCAGACTCACTGGAGATGCTTACATGTACAAGGCCGTCCTCCAAAATGACCTTTTGCAAGATCCTGATGAAGGAGTCAACTATTTCAAGAACACGCTGAAGAAGTACTTTTTGAAAGGTGCGATCAACGTGTATCTGTACAGACTCCTCAGTTTCTTCAACCACAGAAGGCAGAACCAAGAGTTCCTCATTTTTACCTCAAAATTCGAGATCCTTCTCATGAGATTGAAGGCAGCATGGATGGACTTGATGCCAATCTTTACGGCACAGTCTCCATCATTCCGACAGTCCGTACAGGACGCAAACGCGAGAACAATTGCTCGACATCAGCAAGCTGCCGGTGCTCGAGCACCGCCTCCAGCCCTGCTAAATGAGGACGATCCTACAGTCCTCAGACAATATATCCAAGGAATGCAGGACAGACAGCGGGACGCATTTCCCTTCGGGGATAATCTCATTGCACAGTTTTTCATTATACCACGTGAGTTGTCAGATCAACAAAGAGAACGACTCACAAGTGCAATGTCATTTAGGAACATCTCACTCGAGAATTATTCCTATGAGATGCTGAAGACACGCTACCATGAACTCTTCATCACTACGAGGACATCGATCCAAGATCCATCCATCCGACCTCAAGGAGGCAGCCGAAGCAACACATTCTTCATCATCGAACAAGGTGAACACGAAGGAGAAGAAGGCTTCTGGGTTGAGGATGAAGAAGGACTTGAAGGATTCATGTCAAACAACGACGAAGAGACGTTCTGGGTCCTCGAGGAGAACGATGCACGTATCGCGGAAAACAACAACTCCAAAACCTGCAGTACCTCATCCAGCAGAGAACATGTTCGTCGAGGACCTCACATCCATTCCTGAACAAGCACATTGGAATTGGGTACGTAAGGGAAAGATCCACGTTCTCGAGATCTTTGCAGGAAGTGCCAGATTCAGTCAATGCTGTGCACTGTCAGGTCTTAAGGTTGGGACTCCCGTGGACATCCGCACAGGATTCGATGTAATGACATCCAAGGGACGACACATGGTCATGGAGATCATCAGGGAACAAGCACCTGATGTCATCCTTATGGCACCGGTCTGTGGACCATGGTCAAATATGCAGAACATCCAGCAAGACCAGCAAAAGGTGGGGGAAAAGCGGAAACGCTACCTTCCCATGGTTGAATTTGTGGCATCCATTGCGCGTTACCAGTTGAAGCACAGAAGATACTTCATTATCGAAAATCCTCAGACATGCGGGATATGGTATCTGAAATGCATGCAGCAATTGTTTTCAGACCCATCCGTGACCTGGGGAGATTTCCATTTCTGTGCATACGGACTAAAAGATCCTGAATCCGGGCTCAGAAGTCTCAAGCCCACGAGCTTGATGCACTGCTTACCTTCCGAGGTTATGAGACCGATCTTCAGAAGGTGTAAAAACTTGTCCAGCTCAGTAAAGCATGAACACCAACCCCTAGAGGGAAACGCTGGTTCCTTCGGAAGCAGAACCAAACTGGCACAGGTGTATCCTTACCAGTTCTGTCAGGACCTTGCGCACATCATCTTACGACACTTGCAGGTGAAACCGCGTGACAACGAGGTGTACCTCTTGGAGGACCTTTTTGAACCATTCACCATCAAGCAGGTTGATATCCTGAGAAAGGAGATGGAAGCCATTGACAAGGAGTTTAACATGACCAGCAGCAGTCTTGCAGTCAGAATCCAAGACCTGCCGTTCAACAAGGATGTTCAACCATTAGTCATTCAAGATCCGCTAGTTCAGAAATTCCAGAAGACGATGAAGCAGTACCCACCTGGGACTGAAATTGATATCTTCAAGCAAGATCCTAATGACTGGCGATGTCAGAGCATGTGGAACGGCTGCAAGAAGTTGAGGCAACTGTGCATCTCATCCACGCAGTATGATGCATGCGCTGCATACGTCCACACCATTGGCATCAATATGCCTATTACGTCACCTCCGGACGATGCAATCATATCCTTCTGGCAGCCTGATCAGCTGAATAGAATTTGGGTCTTGCCTGCATCAAAATGCAATTGGGAGAAGTATGATCCGAAGACGTGGCATGCTGTGATGTTTTCATCCGTTCATGAGCCGTTCACCGATGCGCCGGCCATCAGGCCGATGCCCATCGAGACGGATCCATGGGATCCCACGGATGCGCCTCAGCAACCTGACACACAGCCACCACCTGATCAACCGGACCATCCCATGCCTGATCCAAGACCTCCAACACCTCCGGACGAGAGCATGTCAGATCCTCCTCCGGATCCTCCACATCAGCCTGATCATCCCATGCCGCCAGCACCACGCAGTGTGTTGCCAGACAGTCCAGTGGATCCTCCACTACCGCCACACGACAAGTCTGGCGGAGGAGATGCAGCGCTTAAACGGCAAAAACAATCCATTTCATCCTCAAGCGGACTCAATCGAGTGGGGGGTGATGTCTCTTTGCCGTCACAGTCGCAATCATCTCAGCCAATTCTTCCGACTGTCGTGGTACCTTCACCACCTGCGATTCTTACAAATCCCGAAGCAGAGGAACAAGATGAAGATCTTGAACTGCCGACACTTGTGCAAGAAGAAACAATCGGCAGTCCGTCAAAGAAGCAGAAGACTGGGAAGAAGAAGAAGAAGAAGAAGAAGAAGAAGAAGCCAGATGACAATGATGAGTCACCTGAGCATTCTCCCAGACATGATCCTGCATCTTCATCCAATTATAATCCGAACAATCCAGCCAATTTGCCGGTTCAATATGAAAGTGAGGAAGAGCTGATTCCTCCTGTTCCAACCTCATCCGGCACTGGAAGTTCAGAAAGAACCATGAGATACACTGACCAGGAAGATGGAGATGCAGAAGACTCTCAGAGGACCAGATCCTACGATGATCACCAAGCTGATCTCGTTCTAGATGAATCGCATTGGTCACTCATGACAGCCGAAGAGAAGATCTGTGCGAACACTGGATCCTTTACGGTTCCGAGAGATATCGAAGGCAACCCTGTCCTTCTTGGACGCGTGAAAGGGACCTTCAGTCCATCGCCCCGATGCGGATTCTCTCAGCAGAAATACACAGATCAGAATCATGTTGACCAGCTATGCAAGAACATGACCGACGATGACCGTGCACTCCTAGTTCTGTATTCATCCAAGCAAGAATCCTTGAAGGCTTCATCCACATCCGCACTCATTGGCAAGAAGCGGAAGACAGCCACGGAAATCAAAGCTTATCAGAAGCAATTCCTTGAAGCTAAGCAGCTTGAGTGCAAATCATGGCTTGACAATGAAGTGTTCGACTTAGTCGATACACGCAAGATTCAGGTCAGGAACTGGGTCACCGGTCGATGGGTCCTAACCCTGAAGCGAGACAAGGATGGTAACTTCTTGAAGACCAAGGCTCGCTGGGTCCTGCGAGGCTTCCAAGACAAGCAGAAGAATGATCAGCAGACAGACAGTCCTGCTGCATCCAGGAGTGGTTTCCGCCTTGCAATCCAAGCAGCCTGAAATAAAGGCTGGAACATATTCCACATGGATTTGAAGACAGCATTTCTCCAAGGCGAAGCATATGACCAGTCTCGTGACATCATTTGTCAGATACCTCCTGAAATGGGATATCCACCACACATTGGAGCGCGCATGAAGAAGCCTGCATACGGGCTGAATGACGCACCACGTCGATGGTGGAACATCCTTGATTCGGCACTCCGGTCATACGGACTAGTGCCAACCCGGGCAGACCGTTGTACACACGTGTACTTCCGAAGCCCGCATTGGTGAGTGAGAAGAAATCATCCACAGCTTTCGATCTAGAAGGAGCAGTTGATTACCTAATGGATCCTGTTTCTGGTAACAATGCTAAGAATCGACAAGTTCATGGAGCCCTATCTCTTCATGTAGATGATCTTCTTATGACGGGGGATGACGTGTTCGAGAAGGAAATCATGGGACGACTTCGGAAGGATTTTCAGGTTGGTTCCGAGGACAAAAATGATTTCCGCTTGGACTGAAGAAGCTAAGGTCACAAGATGACCCGAAAATCATCCGAGCCTATGCCGATATCCTGGGATCGCTGATGCAGCCGACTGATCGTCCTTCCGTGGACTCTCTCAACATGCATGAGTTCA